TTTTCTAGACTTTCAATCTTAGTTCTACAAACTCGGTATCGTTCGTTTCAATAATGTGACCTCAGCTGCACGCTTATTTTCAAGATATGGACTCTAAAAGAAGGCTTTAGCATCGCCTTAAAGCGCTATAGTTCAATATGAAACATCAGCAAACAAAATTTAATATAAAAGTATCTTAAAGTGGGCTTCTTAAGCTATATCTTGACGAAAAATTATTGTACAAATTTTTTTCAAAAAGCATTCTAAAGCTTGCGAAGCTTACTTTCAGATACTTTTATATTAAATTTTATTTGCTGATGTTTCATTGAATTGTAACGCCTTAAAGTAAAACAAAAATATTGCAAAGATATCAATATATTTTCAATTTTATGTAATACTTAAGAACAAAATATCGTAAACAAAAGATTCAAACACAAAAGATGTAAGAAGCGTGGTCGAAAACCTCCCTAAGATTTTTTTTCGCCAAGATATTTAACTATTCGTAAAATGCGAGAAAATTGTAAATGCCTAATACTTTTGCACATGGCTATATGTATACAATATTCTTAAGCATATTTTTCGTTAGGTAATGACCGTTGCTCCTAATGTAGATTTAACTTTAATCTCGATTGAGCTTATTTTTTTTTTCAGTTTTATGAATTAGAAAAAAAACAGAGAGAAATTAAACTGAGATTAAAATTAATCTCTACATTGGTAGAAATGGAAATAGTTCATATATAAATATAAAATATATATAAAAAAAGATTAATAGTTATTTCATATGTCGTATTACAGTAGTTACATACATACAAACAGAATATTTTTTAATTATATATTGTATATCATATATAATGTATATGTAATGATATGACTGTCCTAATTATTACGATTAATATGTGTATAACACACATATATATTTTATATTAAATCAGTGAAAGCAATGTATACATATATATTCTTTACAATAATCCCCGGTGAAAAAAATTCTCATTATATTTTCAAGAACTTTTTAAATTTTAAATACAGATTTCTGAAAAATACTTTGAACTTTTTCAGATTTTATCAATTTTCTTCGAAAATTAAAAATGAGAAATCTTAGAATATTTCAAAATTCATATGTATACAAAATTCTAGTAAAGATATAGACTTTTAATATTTTTTGAGTACTTAGGCCACCTTGGCAGTTTAAAATCATAGGTAACTTTGGGAACCTTTTTTGACAAAAATGGAAGAAAAGTTTGTTTGAAGCTTTTATAGTAGAATTCTTTAGAAATAAAATTGTATATTCATTTTTTTGAACAAAATGATATTGAAACTGTTTCACTGATTGCTCTTTTATCAAATCGACGTTACAAAGATCTCTGTTGGAATTGAAACTAAAACAAAAAATTTTTATTTTCTACATAGTATTTACTAAAGAAATACATACATACATACATACATACATACATACATATGAATATTTCGAAATATCGATTTTTATAAAAATAGTAAATATTTGAAAAGAAAGTCTTATTTTCAGTCACAAAACTTTTGCATACAAATTTATAATAGCTTACTTTTTTAAATACTTATTTATGTTTTAGGAATTCTTCGAAGAATTATATCTATACTAAAAACGTGAACAAATTCTTTAAAATAATTAAAAATTGAGCGGAAAGAGGTGGGTCTCTGAGAAACCTATTATGGGTGCGTTCCACTTAATGTTCGTAACGTTTACGAGTATCATTTCATCAAACAACGCAATAGCGTCCCGACGTCAAGAGCATAAAAATAATATGAAACGGACCGTGACTGCTTAATGCGTGAACGTTGTTGCTTATACATACAATTCGCGACGCTACAATTAGCAGCTCTTTCCGGAATTTTGACATCGACAAACTTTCGATTAAAATTAAAACTGCAATAAAAAATCTGACACTTTTATCATATAATGCCAGCACAATCTTTCGATTGCGATCAGTCCGAATAAAATTGGTGCAGTTAATGCCGAGATCTGGAGATTAAGTCCTGAAAAGGGATCATTTCATATTTTCAGACTGTTTTAGTTACTCGTATGAACGTATCGTATACATGTAAACCGTTTTATCTGTTGCTTTCATAATGTGAGAGAGAGAGAGAGAGAGAGAGAGAGAGAGAGAGAGAGAGAGAGAGAGAGAGAGAGAAGAAAGATTGTAGGAAAATGATAGTGTAAAAGAGAAAAAGTAAAGAATGAGGGAAGGTGAGAAAGTGGAGGCAAGACAGGGCAGAAGGCAAGAGTATTATGTTTCCAAAAATTTGCAAAAAACAGTGAAATCCTTAAAAACCTTTTAAAAACAAGAAAAGATATACGCCAAGTACATAAAAAAAATATCGAATATTATATTCTTTTCATAAAAAAACAGATACGAAATAGATGCCATTAGCCAAGTATTTCATCACGCAAGACACATAAAGTAGACAGAAAGTAACTAAAATGGTCAACTGGATTATAACGAACATTGAATATCGGTTGCAATATTTTTTATGCACTTGACGTATTTTTTTTTAAAGGTTTTTTAGGATCCTTCTTGTCATCAAATATTAAACAAGGATGAGATGCACGCGAGCGTTGCGAACGTTTAGTGGAACCAAACGCAGTGTTCCTACTCATAAAAAAATGTAAAGTTTTCTAAAAAAAAATTAAACAGAAATTTTTTGAAAAATTCAGCAATTTATATAGAGAAATTCAGATAAATTACATGAAGAATTCTAAGAAGAATTTTCACTAGCCTGACATACGAAACAATATTCAATATTCGATTTTACTATGTACATTATAACTATAGTTTGCCTGAGATAAAGTAGTTGTAATTTACTATGAACTGCAATGAATATTCGAATGTTACAAAAACGTTAAAAAAGTAAAATAAGTCGCTTTATAATTATATTGTTAAGATGCATTACCTTATCTGCAAATACTGAGATCATTGGATATGCGTTGCATCGGTAATTTAATAAGCGTATGGTATTAGGTAAAGATTTAAGAAAAACGGATCAATTAATGTTACGGCTGAGATTGCTATTCATAAGGAAAACGGTAACGAAATTTTCGAAAAGTGATACAAGTCTTTCATAGTAAGAGTAATAAAATTTGTATGCCTTATACACAATCGCTTGATAACTATGTTAAATTATATAAGATTACTAGCGTACGCATGACACGTATGACGTGTATATATATATATATAATGGTAGTTTCTGCGAATCATGTTCTCATTTATTGTTCCTCATAGTAAGATATATGCAGTTTATCATAAAAATTTTGCAATGCGAACATCTTATCTATGACGTTACAAAACGATTGCTCAAAGATGTAAGATGTCATTGTAAAATGTAAAATTGCACAATGTCTTGCATTGTGTTGTGATAAGTGTGTGCTAAATGAACTACGTATGTCACATAAATCTGTTTGGAAATTACAGTTTTCAAAATAATGTTACCGGAGTATTCAAGCAATTTTGCAACATCTTTATATATGTAGCATTAATAGTATTTTATGTGCTTGTATCGTATATATTTGTAATATCTTTCTATACACGAACTTGTATACAAATTTACACAATAAATTGATAAAATATAACATATCAATGTTGTAAA